ATCCAAAACATGACAGGGATTAAAAAAACAAAACACAAAGTCTCACGCTCCTCAAAAAGGTGAGTGATGAACACGCGCCAATAATAGTAAACCTATTTCAAGCAAAAATTACGGAATTGCCATTCCTGGTCGCACCAAAATAACCGGCCAACCAGGGACAGTATCTTTGTCCGATGTATCACACTCACGTTTTTTTTTTCTTTTTCTTTTATTTTTTTAGATTACTAATTCAGAATTACCCTTTTTAAAAATTAAAAAAAATTGCCACTTTTTAATTATACCATTTTTATTAATCAATATTAGAGATTTAGAAAATAAATTAAAAAAAATATATAATTCTTTCTTCCACATTTCTAATTTCTAGCCCGATAACTTTGGAATATTCCAAATAACATACCGATCATTTTCCTAATTTTATTATCATTTATTTTTACTCGTTGGATAAAAAATATTAAAATAAATAAGCTGTTGAATAATTAGATTGAATATAATTTAACAATGATTGACATACATTTTCTTTTACGTGGAGTTTTAAATTTTTATCTCCACCCAATTAGGAAATTTGATCAATTATATGTATTTCATGTCAGTTAAATTATACTCGTGTTTGATATGATTTTAACTATTAAATTAATGATATATATGTTTAAACATTAATTGTGTTGAGTTAATCATATCTACTCGATCAAAAATGATACTTATAATAGTCAAAGATAATTGATATATATTTAGGATTACTGCCTAATGAAATATCATTTAATGAAAATAATTTATACAAGTCAAATATTAATTTCATATATAATTGATACGTGATAATTTATAATATTTATTTAATAAAATATTTTTTTTAAAAGTAAATATTGAGTTGGTGTGATAAATTTTTATCTTAGAAATACTTAAAAATAAGTAAGTAAATATTAGGCTTGTGTTGATTTGTCGTAATGAGTATTTTTACTGGACTAAGATTAAAAATAAAAATGAACTTTCTCGAGTAATTATTAGAATGACGTGTAAATTAAAACATCATTTTTTCTTTTACGTATTTTTTTTTCAATCTCATCAATCAATTCCCTTATCTCCAACAAAAAATCCGACAACATCCCCTCCTAAAGCAAAAAAAGAAACATAATCATCTTTGTATTCTAACAAAATTCCATTTTTCTTGCCTCATAATTATTATTTTTTCTCTCTTTCCTCTCCTTTAACAATCAACTTTATGATTTTATGATTTTGTGAAGAATTAATATTTCTTTTTTTCTGTTTAGAATTAAAAATATTTGTATTTTTTATCTTCAAATTTTATAAAAAAATAACTTAATCCACGAGTGAGATCCCACATTGATTGGAGAGGGGAACAAATGTCAGCGAGGACGAGTGAGAATGGATTGTGAGATCCCACATCAATTGAAGATAGGAAACATTATTTACAAGTGTATGGAAACATTTCCCTAGCAGGACGTAGAAACTTCTCCCTACCACGTACGTTTTAAAAAACTTGAAGGGAAGCTCGAAGGAGAAAGCCTAAATAAGATAATATCTGCTAGCGGTGAGTTTGAACTATTACAAATGATATCAGAGTTAGATACTGCGAAATGTGGCATCAAAGAGTGGTGGACACGAGGCCACGTGCCAATAAGGATGCTGAGCCTTAAAGGGGGAGGTGAATTGAGGGTCTCGCATCGATTAAAAGAAGGAAACGAGTGTTAGCGAGGACGCTGGACTTCGAAAGAAAGTGAATTGTGAGATCTCACATCGGTTGAGGAGAAGAACGAACACAGTCTCGAAATTAAACTAAAATGACAAAATTAAGTGTGGTAAATAATAAAATATGTATCCATAATAAAAATAAAATAGTACTAAAATCAATGCCATCAAATGAAGAGAAGTGATTGATCAACCTTCTTTAATGTCTTTCATTTAATCATAATGCCCCTATAGTACTTCAACATTAAATTAATCATATTCATCATATAATATATGATGTGACCCCAAGTATTTAATTTCATCTAAAGTTAGTTTTTATATGGTGCTTATTAAAATCTCCTTTTTTTTTCCTTAAATTGAGACCAGCATTTTAAATTCAGACATAAAAAATTAATTTATAAAAATATTTTATCAACTACAATATCATATTATAAAATGGATATGTTACTAATTTGAAATTACCGTATACATAAAAACTTAGCTATTAAACTATTTATATGATATAAAATTTTGAAGGTCAAACAATTATGTTATTAAATTAGTTGGAATATTGAAAACAAAAATAAATGATGAGAGAAGAAAAATATTTAATTAAATGGTTTACAAATTAGAATATAGTTGTCTTGTCATATGAAAATGCATAGAATTTCAATATGATAGCTACATGAGTAATGAGTGTGGAGGGTGGAGCAATGGGTATCTGACACGTGTAATCTAAAAAGATTAAATAACAATAACAGAAAAAATCTTTTTTTTTTTGTTTTCAAAATTTATTCAGTTTCCCATCGATCAAATTTGAGAAAATTCTAGTATGGATTTTAAGGCTCCTTCGATCATATTGATGCCAGTTTTTAAATTAACGACGTAACGTTAGATAGACGAATGACCTCATGGTAAGGTAAAAAAGTAATTCTCAAACTGATAAATGAAAGTCATTCAATTCATTAGGTGAACAACCCTAGAACAGTAAATAAAATTATAAATTTATCTTAAAGTTTTGATTTGATTTTTATAATAGAATTGTCACATGTACGTATGAAATTAAATAAAATGTTACCTTTAGTTGTATCTATTTGTCTATATATACATATATTGGGTGATTTTGTCTCTGTAGATAGCAACCTTTTGTCTATTAAGCTTTATTATTATTATTTTCCTTTGGAAGAAATTAGACAAATAAATAAAAATAAAAATGAAGAAAGAGAGAGAATTTGGTCATGCATGTGTGGCATTTGCATTATAATTCGCACAAATTATTTATAAAAAAAAAAATCATACGAAAATTTGTAAATAAATAAAACAAATATCCCCTCAGTTTCTAAATACGACATTTTTTTCTTAATGTTCTCGAAAACATAAGTAAAGTATACAATTTAAAAAAAAAAAAAAAGACCAAAATCAATGAATTAAAGATGAATAAAATTGGGAATAAAATAAAAACATGATTGAAATTAGTAACGTATTTATTGAAAGATTTTTACACGTGGAAATAAAAACCAATAATCATACATTCTAATAAAAAATTAAATAAAATTCTTAATATTTAAAAATAGAAAATTAAAAAGGAATATAGTATCTAAGACAATGGCATTATTATTATTATTATTTAAAAAATAATAATAAATATGAATTTGATGAAGGGCAGAATAATGAGAGTGCATGTGAAAAAGCCAAAGTGAAATTCTTTTTTGAAGAAAAAAGGAAACAACTTTTTGCAAATTCCAAATACTAACCCTACATCCTCACCAAGCCCCGCAAAAGGTGGAGAGAGAATAAAATAAAATAAATTAAATTAAAAAATAAATTCCGGTATATTCACACTAATATCATATTAGTGTCTACTTTGAATCTCAGCTCTTCTGATAAACTTATGATCTGATTTTACAACAATTGGTCGTGTATTGATTGAACGCGATTATGTTAATTAATTAAACGCGACTATGTTAATTAATTAAGTATTTTGTGTAATTAGTTTGGGGTTTAAAACCAAACAAGTTTCATTAATTCCACCAAACTGGATTAAATAAATATCAAATAAATTGTAAAAAAATTTATAATATGATGCGAGTGGTCGAAAATTATTAAATAAATAAAGGTGATTAAAGGCATTTCTTTGTGTCTGTGAATCATTAGAGAGAGAAAAAGTAATAAATAAATAAAATAAAAATTATAGTGGTGGGACAAGATGAAAATAAATAACATGAACAAATTAAAAATACCTTTTTAATTATATATTTTATTTTATTTTTCTTTTTGGTTTTTGTCTCTAATTCTAAAAAAAAGTAATATTCTTTATAATATGTATTTTATTTACTAAATATTTGAGCAATTCTATGTTCCGTGAACATATTAAAATTTTGTACAAAATATACGAGCGACGAATTAAAAACATGTTGAAAAGATTTGTATTGGTCTATGTGGGTAATCTTTGTGGTTAAAACACCTCAAAACTAAGTAAAAAATATGATCGTGTCACAGGAGATGAAGAGGATTGTGGACCATCAGATGGCAAATATGGATTCCAAATCCACGTCGTAGGGAGGTATGAAAATGTAATAGAAACTGTTTATAAGCGTTTTAAATTTCTTCAAGGATCGAAAATAAACATGCACACAGTTGATATATGTAGTAACTAACGATAGTTTTTAATAAATTTATAAATAGTTTTGAAAATAAATTATTTTATAGAGATAAATACAGAAAAAGAAGGGAATTGAAAGACAGCCAAGATTGTAAATAAATAAATTAATTAATTGAATGAGGCAGGCTGTGAATCGGTTTAAAAAAATTTAATTGAATGATTTGTAAATATTAAGATTATAATGTTTTTATATAACATTATTTACAAATCTATTATTCCTTTGCAAAATAATAATAATAATAATACCAAAATAATAATTTAGAAAACATGAACAACATCATTGTATGGAGACAAAGCTGATATAAAAAAACATAAATTTATTGTTTTTCTAAAAATCATATCATTATTATTAATTTAATAATTTGAAAATGAGAGTATGGTGGGACATCATTTTAAAATATACAATTTCAAAACAACATATAAATAAATAAATAAATAAAAGGAGATACGTAATCTTTAAAAAATTAAATATAAGAACAGCGGGCTCCACACCACACCGGTTGTCACATCATCACGGCTTGATTTGAATATATAACGCGGGACCCGGCGGCGCGTTTATCTCACGCGCTTCACTGTAAACGAAAAGGTTTTTTTTTTTCTTTTTTTCCTCTGTTCTTTCAAGCCTGTCTGGTTCTGGACATGAGAATGAGCTCAATTTTTTTTTTAATTAAAAAAAAAAAAAGAGTCAGAGGTTTGGGGCAAGTGAACGTGCGCTATTTGAACCACAGATCTGGATCCACCCCAAAGCATCAAGCAAACAAACCCCTCTCTTTCTCCCTCACTTTCTCTCTGTCTCTCTTGAGGGATTGATTTTCTTTTCTTTTCTTTTTTCTTTTGAATTCAAAGGAGAGAGAAAGTAGGAGAGAGAGAGAAAGAGGAGTGAAAGAGAAAGCTCGGCTTCAGAAAACAATGGCAGACTAGCAGCAGAAACAGAGTTGCAGGTTTCTTTGAACACCCAAATAATGCCTCTCTTCTTCTTCTACTTCTTCTTCTTCAAAAACTAAAACCCAGTTCAAGGAAGGCTGTGGTGACGCTTTTATGGTAAAGAGTTCAAGCTTTTACCATTTATTTGCCCTAGAGATCTTCATGAACTATGAACATTACATTTTTCTCTGTTTCTTCTTCTTCGTCTCTGTTTTGTTTCTTTTACGGGTTTTCCCTTTAATGAAGGAAGCCTTTTCTTTTCTTTTCATCTAACCCACACGGGAATACTTGTTGTGCCACCAAACTTTCTCTTTTAACCCTTTTTCTTTACCTCCTTTTTTGGGTATGTTGTTTCAGGAACAAGCTTTAGAGAGTGAAGTGAAGCTGTGCCTACTCTGAGCCCATCTCATCTCATCGCTTTGATTGATCTCGACAACTTGGGTAGGTGAAACGTTGAGAAACAAGGAAACAAAGAAATCGAAAAAGGAAAGAAAAGAAGTTTTACTTGTAAAACATTTTACTTTTCTCTCCAAAACCAGCAAAACACAAACCTCTTTCCCTTCTGCTCTGTTTTTTTTTTTCCGTCCATGGATTCTTATGAAGCAACAAGAACTGTGTTCTCTAGGATTCAGAATTTGGACCCTGAAAATGCTTCCAAAATCATGGGTCTTCTTCTGATTCAAGACCATGGAGAAAAGGAGATGATTCGATTGGCTTTTGGCTCTGAAACTCTGCTTCACTCTGTAATTCTTAAGGCCAGGAAGGATTTGGGCCTCCCGTCGGTTAACTCGCCGTCGACTCCCTCGACGCCGAGTTCTTCACCTTCTCCGTTTTCTCTTTCGACCAATCCAATCGCTATTTCCAGGCAGAGTTCTTCTTCTCGGTTGGGAATTAATCTTCCTCCTTCACTTACAATTCCTAGCCCTTCTTCCAGCTCTGCTTCTTGGGCTCCTGGTTTTAACTCTAAGCTTCAAAGTTTTGATGATCATTTGATTAGTCCTGGGCATTTACCACTTGGGTCGTCTTGTTTTGGTGCTGGGGGAACTCCGGCGGCTGATATGATTGATGAATTTCAGCTTCAGGACCAGCTTTCATTTCTCAACGATGGTTCCCCTACAATCGGCGTTAAAAATTCCGACTTGTTTTTCCCGCCGGCGGATTTGTCGTCGAGTCCCACCGGGGGTGGGTTTGGGAACTACGGCGGTGATGCCAGTTGGGATGGAGGGCCGTTCCACCGCCGGAGCTACTCTGTGAACGACGCCGGTTTGGGAACAGAGGATCTGAATTGTGGGTTGGGTTGGAAGCCTTGTCTGTACTACGCTAGAGGGTTTTGTAAGAATGGAACCAGTTGTCGGTTTCTCCATGGCGGCCTTGGAGACTCCGACGGCGGCGCCGCTGTAGGCTCGCCGAGTAAGATCGAGATGATGGAGCAGTGCCACGAGCTTCTCAGATCCAAATCCTCTGCTCAACAGCGACTCGCCGCTGCTTCTCAGCTTATGGCCTCTGCTAATTCCTTCCCTTACTCTCCTAAATCCATCAACTTCCTTCTCCAGCAGCAACAAAACAATTCCCAGAGGTATAATATTTTCATTTTATGCAGAATGTCCAGCGATTTATGAAGAAAAACTCATCTTTTAAACCCATCTGTTTGCAGAGCCGCGGCGGCGGCGTTAATAATGGGGGAAGATCTACACAAATTTGGTCGGTCCAGCCGGCTTGAGCAAAACGAATTCTCACTGAACGGCGGTGTCGGAATCGTCAATCCGGCGTCAAGGCAGATCTACTTGACTTTCCCGGCCGATAGCACATTCAAAGAAGAAGATGTGTCGAATTATTTCAGGTTTCTTCATTAACCCAATCCTTTATTTTGTGAAGTTCATCTTCCATTTCTGAAATTTGTTGGTTTTCTTAAGCATGTACGGCCCAGTTCAAGATGTGAGAATCCCTTATCAACAGAAGAGAATGTTTGGATTTGTCACTTTTGTTTACCCTGAAACTGTGAAGCTGATTTTGGCTAAAGGAAATCCCCATTTTGTCTGTGATGCTCGTGTTCTTGTTAAACCTTACAAGGAGAAAGGCAAAGTCCCAGACAAGTACAGGCACACTCTGTTTCACTCTGTTTTACTCTGTTTTGCTCTGTTTTTCCTAGAGTTTGTATGTGATAACTTTGGATTGGTGTGGTTGTTCTAACAGGAAGCAGCAGCAAATCGATAGAGATTACTCTCCTTGTGGAACTCCAACTGGGTTGGATTCTAGGGAGCTTTACGATCATCTTCAACTCGGGTCGAGAATGTTCTATAATTCTCACCAAGATCTGCTATGGCGAAGGAAATTGGAAGAACAGCAAGCCGATCTTCAAACGCTCGATCTTCAAAGTCGACGCCTTTTGAATCTGCAGCTTCTTGATGTGAAGAAGAATCAGCTCCCCCACCACCACCGTGCACTTTCCACCGGCAGCCCGATTCCTTCTCCGACGCATTCTCCGAACCCTTTTGCTCAGAATCACATCTTCCCCACCATTCGTAGCAGTAGCAGCAGCAGCAGCACCTCAGACATCTTGAGAGGTGAGGTCCATAATCCCATCTCAGCTTGTGGCGCTACTCCGGTGCCTGTTCGGACACCACCGCCCATAGTCACGATGTCGTCAACCAATATGCCACGACAACCATCACCAGTCGATAACGGAACCTCGACCAACAAGTTCCCATCGAATGGTCAAGGAGAGCATGACAAGGAGAGATCCCAAATTGAAGACAGTGATTTACTTGAATGGTAATACAATTGACAGTCCTGTTTTGATCTTAAGGTTCTGCTTTTAGTTTAGATTGTTCTCAAGTGTAAAAATGCACATCGCAGCTTTGAACATAATCTCCCTGATAGTCCCTTTGCATCACCCTCAAAAGCCCCTACCGACTACGCAGCGACATTCTCCATCGAGGAAGCAGCAAATGACTCCGACGACGCATCATCATCGTCAATACTCACACCAACTCCCTCTAGGGAAGTAGCAGCAGCCTCCTTCAAATCCTTCAATTGCCAAATGCCAAGGTGAGTACATACAAACAAATATACAAACAGCTCAAGTTGTTGAGTCCATGTTACTTGACACACATACAAACAACAATCAATCTGGTACAGGTTCCCAACCGGGCACAGCACGATCGGGATGTACGCGGGGACGGGCGGGCCGACATGTCCGGTGGGAATTTAGCATCCAAAGCAGGAGGAGGAGGAGGTAGTGTTAGTTGGAAAAAGAAGTGCATAGTTGAATTAACAATGATGTATGGTGAATTGGAGGAAGGAAAGAAAGAAATAAAGTAAAAGAAAGAAAGAAAGAAAGAAAAAAAAAGGTAAAAGTGTAAGCATATGAACACAATATCTATAGAGAATGATGAGCAGTAGCAGTAGGAGTAGCAGCTCCAGACAAGGCTCCTCCAGCAAGAACAGTATAAAAGAGGAAGGTGGGGGGTCACCCATTATTCTTGTTCTTCTTTGTTCCTGGTTTATTGTTGTTGTAGTAGCAGCAGAGCTGTAGAACAACCCATCTCTCTCTCTTTAAGAATTTACAGTAGAAAAAAAGAAAAGGACACAGAAAGCAAGAAAGAAAGAAAGAAGTTTTTTTTTCTTTTTCTTTTTATTCCACAGAGTACTCATAATGTGTAGTAGTAAGAACAGTAAGAACAGTAAGAACAGTAAGAACAGCAAGCACAAATGGCAGGGGATGAAGATGATGAAGATGAAGATGAAGGAGATGATGTTGATGATGATGATGATGATGGGGTGGGGACTGTAATATCCAAATTTTAATTTCATTTTATCTTATACTTTTCTTTTCTTCTTCTTCGTCTCGATCTTGTTCTCGATCTTATTCTCGTTCTCGTTTTCAATCTCGATCTTGTTCTTGTTCTCGTTTTCAATCTCGATCTTGTTCTTGTTCTTGTTCATTTCTTGTTTCAGTGAGAACTTATAAATATGACTACAATTTTGAAAACTAAACGGTTTTTTACTACTAATTAAATTTTTTCTTAAAAAAAAAAAAAAAAAGGTGAAAATCATTGTAATAAAAGTGGGAGAAACTAAGTATCAATTTGATTGTTAGAAAATAAAGAATGAAATTGGCATCAAATTGGGTGTTAAAAGTCTTATTTTTATTTTTGGAATTTAGCTAGAATTTCAAATATATTTTAGAAGGTATAATAGTTGTTGGAAATAAATATATAATTGCTGAGAAAGGTAATTTTTAATTAAAAAAAAAAAGAAAGTGAATAATTTATTTATTTAATTATTTAAACATTTTAATTTTAGGCTTTTGCATGTGTGGGAGAAGATTGAGAGATAAAGGCTTCAATTTATTTATTTATTTATTTATAATTTGATTGGTTATTGATGGAATGATGAGGAGAGAGAGAGAGAGAGAAAATCACATGGGGTGATTGGAGAGGGAAAATGCCAGCTTGTAAGTGGGACCCACCCACCCCTTGTCACATGGGATTCCAACCCCTCCATACATGCAAAAAAAAAAACTTTTATATTTTTAAAATAAAATAAAATATTATATTTTACTTATTTCTAAAAATAATACTCTCTATTAGTTTTTTTTTTATAAATTTTAAAAATAAATTAACAATTTTCTTTTGGCATGAAACTTATTGTAATTATTTAGTAAAATTAAGATTTATTAAAAACAAAACATAGAATAAATAGAATTAAAAAAAATATGGGAGTGTTTAAGCTTTTTTGTCTGAGAAAAACAGGAAAAGACGTGGACCCTTCATTCCTTTTTCACTTACTTTTTTTTTCCTAAAATATATAATTTATACACACACGTACGACAAAACTGCACGGTTTTATATATATATATATATATATATTTATTTATTTATTTGTTATTATTATTATTTTAAATTAATCTCTCTCGAGGTTTGTGGGGGATAAAAACAAAATCACTGTGTTTACCGTTTGTTTTACTTTTTATTTCTTTATATTTTTTTTACGCTTAAATTAAATTTAATAAACTTACGATATAATTATTTAATATTTATTAATTAATGTAAATTAACCTTATAACTAAAATTTAAATTTACAGGAATCTGGAGAGGTCTTCTCCCGCGAATTTCTACCGCCGAAGTTGCAATTGCAAGAGTCTCCGATTTCGAATCCAGAGCTACTTGGAGGCCTTTGTCGGCGACGGCGAGTTTCCACGATTTAGGTCTTCTTCTCCGACTACGATCCTTCTTCCTCTTGCTTGTTTGCTAATTGTTGAAAGGAAATTTACACTTGCCGCTTTTCTCTTTGTCTTGATCTGAATAAGATTCAATCGTTTCTCCTTTTCTGATGCTGTTACTACGCTAGTGAACTTTAAAGATTGAAATTAAGAGTTGTGTGTTTGGTAGATGATGTTTGATTGGCGAAAATTTTGAATAGGGGAGCTGCTGAGGGTTAATTGTGTTTGCAAAATCCTGTGGAAGCGGATTTTGTTGGTGAAGTCTTGGAGTCGATCTATTCTCTCCAACTATGGTACTCTCCTTGAGTTTCTTCTTAAATTTTTTATCGTGAAAATTGAGTTCTTGCTGTATTGAAAAATATTAGAGACATTAAAAGTTATTGTTGCTCCTTTTTTAGTTTTTAAATTCAGGGAAGATATCGGAATGGAAAGGAACTGCTTGTCTGTGATCTACATGACATCGAGTATGAACAGACACTGATATTTTAATGAACAATGATAATTTATTCCTTGGCTTAAACCTTATTGCTACTGGTCATATTTGGTGAGACTCGAGAGAGAAAACGTGTCTTAAAAAATTTAAATGAGAAAAGATTGCAGATATAGATATTATGGGGTAGTTTAAAAGGTGAAAAAGAATTTGATCATCCGCCCTTACTCGTTCCAACTGCAAGTTGACTGAGAAATGGAGAAGGGTTGAAAGTAGTACATTAGAAGGAACTTGAAGCTACCTCAATCTAGGCACTGACTTAAGTATCAGAATATGTTGGGTAGCACCTATTGGTGTCAGCTTCTGGTTTGCAGGTCGGTCAACCCTTCAACTACGTGTTCTGGTGATCAAAATATCAAGTCCATATATAGAATAATTGATATTTTCTCTGGCTTGCTATCATAACACTCATCTTTTAGAGTTGATAGGCCAAAAGGATGTCTTTTCTAAACTATACTGGCAGAAGATTTAGCAGGCTAATACGAGTACAAATTTATTGAAGGTTTCAGCTTCTAGGGTAAGTGTTACCGTCCAAGTCTACCATTAGCAGATATTCTCCTCTTTAGGCTGTTACAATTGATGTCAGAGTCAGACACCGGGCGTTGTGACAGCGAGAATGTTGGGCCCCAAAGGAGTGGATTGTGAGATCCCACATCAGTTGGAGAGTGGAACAAATCATTCTTTACAAGGGCATGGAAACCTCTCCCTAGCAGACGTGCTTTAAAATTTTTGAGGGAAAGTCCGAAAGGGAAAGCTCGAAGAGGACAATACCTGTTACTGGTGGACTTGGGCTGTTACAACCACACTTCCATTTTAACTATGGAATGTCACTATGATCAGAATGGTAGCCATGTTCGCAATGTCATTTTGCTGAGGAGGGAGAAAGTATAGTTCTCGACTCGTAGACAGTTTTCTACAGAGGGCAAAGTTAAAGCAGTGCAACAATCGGGAGAGATGCAAGAAAGTTGAAATTTCATGGAACTAATAGAAGACTGAAATTGGTTATAAATTTGATATTTGTTGTGAAACTGACCAGTTGCAGTTGGTATGAGTATGGAATTTTTCTTTTGATTCCATGTGTTTGCTTAAAGCACCTTTTTTTTAATGCTAATAGCAACTGTAAGAACTAAGAAGTTATCGCCATCTTGATTCATATTGCATATTTTTCGTGAGTTCAGTTGAAACTATTCGTTTGAGCTCTTTATCGATATGTCACTTTTCTATGGCTGTTTGCACAAGAATGCAAATGCAGAGATGCATAGGTGAATAAAAACTTGCTGGTTCGTTAATTTACATTGGTAAATTTTCCAATCAAGGTAGCTTCTGAACTATCCATATCTTATAAACGACTTTGTTTTCCTTGATTTATCATAGTAATGCTGTATGATACTACAAAATTGATATATGCACCTACCATTGTTCAACTGTTCCTCACCGCTTTCCAAATTTAGTTTATAAATTCACTTTTTTACACCTTTAATTAAATTTGAATTATCCTGCAGTTACCTTGTTAACCGATGCTCTAGGAAAAAAAGGCGCAGGATATACTAGCAAATCTACAGACAGCAGGCGACTCCTGCATTTTATGATGCCTTCTCAAGTTGAGTTCAAGTGTGGGAGCCATCATGACAAGGATTTTGCCTTTTGGAATATTCTTTGACCTGGAGCAAGTATTGCCAAAGGGTCATAAGCTTTTTTTCTCTGTACATATGTTTCCCACATTGGGCCAAAATGGGCCTGCCATTCGTTCCTTGTAGTATAATGTGGCAAATATTGTTTTGCTCCTAGATTGGCTGTTCTACAGAATTCCAGAATTCTCATGTTCTGAGCTAAGATGTATTCTAAGCTGTTGTTTCCTCTAGAAAAAGGAACTGCAGAGGTTAGAAACGCCACCAGGTAGAAAATCTCCTCCTCTGGAATAACTACAGAAGTTCTATTGTCCCACCTGAAATTCAGAAATAATTGAATCAACACAATACATATTGCTAGAATGTTTTAGCCAGTAACTTAGTTAGACAGTCAATTACTTTGATTTGTTAAGTGGATAGATTAGGACAGGGCCGTTGCTTGTTTCCTTCAGGATATTGCCGAAAACCCCTTCTGCAAATTTTTTTATTTTACTTTTTGGAACAAGGAGATTCAGCCATGGGTGTGGGACTTCCCACAAGCCTTTTGACTGTAGTTTGACGGCTGATACTTGAACTCTGTCCAGGAATTCCACATATGTAACTTCTGATATGAAAAGTGTTGATGGGATATAACTTAACTGAGACAACAAGCGTGTGACTTCCTGCATAGTAAAAGCATGTGCATATGAAATCCTCTGAACCAAATATATTTTCCCATGTATTTATTTGATCCTTTTTACATAGATTTAATGTGAGTACTTTACCTGATCGATAATGTTGTCCTCGGTGTGGTGAAAGTACTTGGCCAATTCTAGGCAATAAAGAATTTTTCCATCAGACTTGAACTGGCTAGCTTGAACTGGGTCTTGTGGATTGAATGATGATCTCCAATTATTCAAAAGACCAGTTCTGTTTATTATCACGAATCCCTCTATGTAGTCGAATGTATTTTCTGCAGATATCAAGAGCTCCTGCTCTGAGGAAAAAGTAGTGAAGTCTAAGTACAGCACCCTTATCCATTTTACCTGTCAAAGATAGAAGAATTGTGTTAGAACAGTCCTTCATAAACACTTTAGACGAAATCTTCCAAGTTTCCTTTACAAACAATAATCTTACCATTGTTGGCGCTGGTTCAAGTAGAATTTTTGCCCTTGTGATAATTCCAAACTGGCCTAATCCTCCAAGAACACCGTAAAAGAGGTCACTGTTCTGTTCCTTTGAACAGCTTACCACATCCCCTTTTCCTGAATTTAGTTTCAATCCATTTGTCAGTAAACGTAATGTTATGCTGCCTGGTACCAGCTCATTTTTTGATAAGTTTCAACTGTCTTTAATGACTTTATGATTGGGTGATGAAATACATACAGTAAGAGAACTTGGCAACTTAATCGGCCACCTATGGGACATGGCGTTAAGACAAGTCAATAGTTTGCCACTTATCTTTTCAATTCTTTCCCTACTTTTGTTTGTCATTCACTGTGCAATTATTAACTGCATGGATTTCCTTCCCCATTACTCTTTTAACATTTACATGCCCACAGGAGCCAGAGACATACTCTTGCAAATGTATAGTATAATGTATATGGCAACGAACCTGTTACAACCTCCAGCTGATGAACGTTGCTGATCTGAGGGCCATGCCGAAATGCCTGTCCGCTGATCCCTGCATTGGATAAAGTACCTCCAACCGTTAGATGTAGGTAGTCTGTCCATGATTTTGGTGTTAATCCGTATTTCAAGCTCTCGTGCAGGATATTTATCCATAACTCCCCTCCAGAAACATCGACGTAAGTAAAGTTTCTGGTATGAACCTGCATTTGAGGGTCCTGGAGTGATTCCATGTTAATCACAACTCCTTGGTGGGCCTGCGCTTGGCCATGGAGCGAGTGGCCATGGCCTCTAGCTGCAACTGTGAGCTCTGAACGAGGTCCCATCTTCCAAATATGCTCTATAGTCATGGCGATATCAGAAACTGATGATGGATGCAGTACTGCTGCAGGGTAATATTGATATCGATTACCGAAGTCTCTTGCGGCAAATTGCACTTTGTCAAACTCAAAATGCCCGTTGATGGAAAGCATCTTGAGTGACGAATGGATGCCTGTGAAGCATAGATTCATCCTAACAGCAATACAGCTCAGGAACAAAAGCATAAAGCTTCGGGTGGAAAGCATGCTGTTTTGTTATTTCTAACGAGCAAACGCACAAGAGGTGGAGGAGGGCCTAAGAAAATGCTGAACTTGAGGTGGATTTAAAGGGAGATTAAGATTATAGCGGCTGAGTCATTTAGACTTCAGTTGGGAGAATACGTATGAAGACTGCCTACTTAGGGAAGAGTTTCGGGATTTCCTTTTTGTTTCTCACTGACATTAATTATGAGGTTACTCTTCTTCAATCCTATTATTGCCGGAATTTAACATTGCGTATCTAGTTTCAGATTCAGTCAGAAGAGGATACTAGCCCATGTTGATTCATTGGAGACGAAGACAGAAGGATCAGCAGGTCGTCAGAGGGTCCATTATACACGTGATATTTAACTGCCTGCATGATCTTGAGAGAAAAGAGATATGATGGGGATTGTGTCGGACCCCGTTTTGTGGCCACTCTTTACAGGTCAAGGAGAAAGGAGAGCGAACATGGGGCTGACAGCTTCGTGGTGGCACTCAACGCCTACTCTTTCTCCTATCAACTTCCACAGGTTTGAAACCCAAGTTCCCAACAATTTGACAAGTTTGAAAGATTCGATCTTGTTTATCTTGTTATCTGCCATTAAAATAAAATCTCAGTGCAATTATGGGCTTTTCCCCTTCTGTTGCAATTTGTATGTGAGAACCAATGAGGTTTTTACAAATTTGAGGGAAAAGCATCTTTCCCCTCTTGCCTTTATGCTACATGGCACTCTAGAAAATGAAAGACAAGAAAATTAGTCAATATCTACATCATGTGGCACCCGTGATCCAGGTCTTCTTCCACGATAATAAGCCTCAAGGAAATTGGCATGTCTTCTTCAACTTAGATTGGCTTGGCAATGGGATCCAATCAAAATCTGCCTAATGGTTTTCTTTGATAGCCTCCTGAATCTCTAGAGTTTTCAGTGTTCTGACCACATCTATCTATATATCATGCATTCAACTTAGTTAACTTGTGGCGTTACAAAAGCGAAGCTATTTAAGGTTGTTACAGGTTGTGGGCTTAATGGAATCAAAGGGAGGCTGGGAATGAACTGTCTCCCATTACCTGACTAATAGATTTATATTCCTTCGTTAGTCGCCAAATTATCATTATGTTTAATTCCCAATGCGAACAAAGTTGTGGCAAATTATTATCATGTTTCTGTATGGTTTTTTTGTTGTTGTCGAAGTTCACTACGACTGACTGACTGTTCTCTGATGTGCATGCAAGATCTCACTTTGCAGGGCATAGGTAGAGGGGTAGCACTCAAGCCTGGATTTTTGGAGTTACCCCAGTGCACCCAGGAATATGAATCCGTTTTTATACAAAACTAGGTATTCTTCAACTAATTCACTTTGAGAATCATGCACAACTGGATTCCATTTTTTTTGCCATTTCAATACTTATCATTCATTTTGGACTATTTTGTCGCTTGCTTGTATTTGTTTCTGTGTGAATCTTCAGCCTCTGCATATATTCTGAATATTAGACATCATGAATCCACCTGCAAGAAAATATCTAGTACTAGGATAGTATGATTTTTTTTTTTTTTGAATTACCATTCATTACTTGTCATTAAAATAAGTATTTAAGAATTGTGTCAAAAATATTATCGTATTAATTATTGAATAGAATAAATATGTGTTAGTATAATATTAGAATTTTTTCTATGCTGATTCGAACATTGAAGGTAAAAAATTATAAACTTTGATATTGATATTGATTTATAATATTAGAAATGTCTTAGTTTTACTATAAATTCAAAGAGTAGGTTACAGGAACCTGAACTTACAAAAACCATAAGCTAAGCATTTCCTTAGAGTATTAACATAAGGGATAGAGGATGACAAATTCAAGATTTCTAGTCAACATCAGTACATCCATTTTGGGTATTGCTCCAATCTTTCTGAAAGCTATATGTTTGTTCCATTGCTTAATGTGGCTTTCCCTTTTTTTGTCACTCTCATGATATATAGTTTGATGAACAGTCATCAAACAAATGCATGCATCTAATAATGAGATTTTGCCTTTACTTGTTGCATTTTTCTAAGTCCGTGTCTTCGATTTGGAAATGAAATGGAAGAAGTTCGTTCAAGTTAGGCTAAATTAATGGAAGTGTTTCTTAGTTACAAGAAAAGAGAAGTACCTTTTAGTTTCTCGTCTCTAACCGAGACCATTTAGACAATACGACTTAATCTTTAAAGCTTATAAATATATTTGATCTCTAATCAATATTAATATACATGTATTAAAAATTTCACTATATAACATTTTTCATTATAAACTCTCATTTTGAATAAAACTTGCTATAACGTGAAATTTTTGTCGCACGTTTGGTAGAAACTAATTCATTATAAGCTGAACGAATCACGTGATATTAATACTACTTATGAACATATATGCATTGATTAGTTAACTCTAATCCATCCAATACACTTAAAGTAATAGCATCAACTATATGAAATGAGTTTTTCTTAATCATTTATAGAAATTAATTAACAATAACTTTCACAAGTTTCTTGTTTGATTGGGTTTCCTAATATGTCTTGTCTTGAGCTGTAAGCAAATACCCTAGTCCACTTAGGAAAGTAGTGATTGGGGGAAAGTGACACTTCTGAATGAGTCCCAACCCAATGGCTTGTTTATGGAGAATATCTTAATCTAAAGCTGATTATTTAACTCATTTCATTTTTGTTTCAGGTCAAAAAGTCAGTTCCCTTCTGCCTAACCACATAAGCTTGCTTGCTTGTTGAGGTAATGCCATGTGCTGCTTGTTTACTGAATTGGGTAGGTGCGGATCCAATTGCGAAGATTCTGAGTTTGGCATAGACTTTAATGTTGCTTGCTCAAATTGGAGTCTCTCAGGATCTTCTTCTCTTTCAAAATTTTTGTGCCTTTTCTTTTTGGGTTGGTTATGGGAGAATGTAGTCGGGTACGATTGTCTAATGTTTTTGCTCTTAGACATATACTTGACTCGAGTGCCGGGGTGCTTGTTCTCGAAGTTGAATTTTCAACTTGTGTTCATAGTGTTCGAGCTTTCAAAGGAGATTTTGGTTTCAGATCTTAATTCTTTTTTAGAAGTCTTCTGCTTCTGCTTGCTTGCTTTGAGTTCTAAATTTTCAACCTAGAAAATGGAGGAAAACACCTCTATTCACAGTCTTCCCCATGGGCTTTGTCAACTTTGGAGCCAACCCATTGGGCTAGCTTGGTTTTGGACCTAACTCTTTGGGCTCAATCCCTTCAATTTGGTTTTGGTGGCTTTAGGCTTTGGAAAAAAATCACGGAGCAAAGAGGAGGGATAAGAAGTTAAGAAAGCATTTATACTCAGCTGTCCATTGAATGGCCGTCTCTGTCTGAAAAACTGACCGTTGAAGCTTCTCAAACATTAATCAGACCGTTGGATGGGAATTTCAGAGAATATATAAATATCAAACCTTACCTTCAGGAAGAATAAGCCCACTTCCTTCTTCCCCATTTCTCTGTATATACTCTTTGCTTGCTTGTGATCAGAGATGGGTTTGGTGATGGTGATCTCTCTGCCACTCATTTTCTTCTGCTTGCTGCTCGGTTTCGGGTGTTACTTTCTCGGCCGAGCAAAAGGGAGACGAGACATAAGGACCAATGCTCAGACATTTGGGGTGCCCATGCCGCCTCCCGGTATCGCCACCACTCATTCCCTATCGCCACCGCAGCCGATTTTCAAACCTGATAATGCCATCAATGTTTGATTAGTAATCAGATCTAAGTTCAATTCTTCACTGTACTCTTTTCCTACTGCAAAACCCAAATTCGCTCACAGGGTTCTTTTTTCTGAGTGTGTGTAAATTCTATACTATCAGAGTTTAAGCTTCAATACTCCATGATGAATCGTTTTCCAGTTACTGTCTGTCTATCCTACAAATAAAATGGCCTTCGAAGTTGGCCGCCATGTTGATTCCTCAACCCTTCTGCACCTGCAATGCTTGGTTGAAGAACCCCATAAAATATTTAAATAACATACTCGAAATTGATTGCATAATTTCATAGTTAGCACAACGTATTGTTTGTATAAGGAAGAAAGAATGCTTCTTAATCTGCTGTTCCTTTCTCACTCCTAACACCTCTTGGTAGCCAAGTATTGTAACATGAAGGTAGTGATAGGAATCTACACCATAAACCGGAGACCAAGTAACGAGAGTTGGTTTTACAAGAATCATATACCTCCTACCAGGTTGAGAGTTTCTACGTCAATTCCTGGAGGAGATTGTGGCGGAACGGCGGGTTGATGCCACTCATCAGGTTCAATTCCCAGGGCCTTCCTTGCAGTTGCTTGGTGCTTGTTACTTCTAGATGGAAGGGATTGAGATGCAACGGCTTTGCTCGAGTTACTGCTGGAGATAGAGATGGATGATAAAAATTTCTCCTTTGAACGAGTTTCAGAAGCAGATGCAATAACAGACTCGAAGACGCCACTCTCCCTTAATCCCTGTATAATCACCTGAATCAAAAAAAGATGGGAGATTTTTCAACTGGGTGCAACAAGTTCGATATTAATCCACGATCACTAGGCATCTGATCACTAATTCTTTTCAGAATATGACATTATAATTGTGAATGAGGTAAGGATTCTAACCAACATATAGCAAAGATCATTGATATCTCATGCTCAAAATGAACTGTCTCAATGAACAAATTAACTCTTTCTAATTTGTCACTACAGACATCAAATAAAATTCTTACCTTCGGAGCATTAATTCGTGTTAAAATGCCCTTCTTCAACAACTTGATTTTTACGTCTTTGTCGCCCCACACAACATGTTCTCGATACCTAGTAAAGAAGCAAATATGTCTATCCAAAACATAAACTAAAAAAATGTTTTCTTCATAAAGAAAGAGAATAATACCAGTCTACGATTTCCTCCTGGGTTGCAGTAGAAGCAACTATGAATGCCTGCAATTCATATAGTTGCTTAGAAATTTAAAAATGATGGGATGGGGTCATAAAAAAGTAGGACATAAAAGAAACTCCAAGTTCTGGATGGCAACTTGTATGAAGAAAAATTTGGTCCCAAATCTAGGAAATAAAATTGATTTAAACAATTATCTCACGCAAAGTTGCATAACTCTGTTCTAGGAAGCTTTTTCTGTGGACAGAAGCTTTAAACAAGATCAAGAAACATTGAACTCACAGTTCTATCAAATTCCAACATAAAGCATCTTTTAACATCATCTTTGGTAGGTTTGCACCCACAGCGGTCGCGTCTAGAGGTCAAGTCAGAAAATTTTGCATATGTGTAGTGTAATACGGCAGCTTCCTCCAATTTAATCTCACTGTCAAATATTTACATGAACACAGTTAGTGCTGCAAAATAGCTATCCTGAAACTATAAGTTCACAATAAACAACTTACTTTGGGGTTTTCATGTAATTATGCCATCTATGTGCCCCATTTGGACGAAGATGATCTTGAATTCGAGCAGCTGATTTCCCGTTTCCATAAGTCAAAAAGTAATTTGGGTTACCACGAGTTGATTCTTTGTACATGCCAAAATATGTATCCTTGGGCAGGTGGTCAAAGTTTTTTTTGAACATTGATACCTGAGTTCATAGAGTAATCTCAAAATAGTAGGTGCACATTTTAAAAACAAGCAATATCTAATTCCTTACACAAGCTTCATCTTTATATTTAAAACAAAATATAAGACTCATTACAGCTAAATGCTTCCGATTAAACACGAGATATCCATATGGTAATATTCATTACAAAATATGACACTTGAATGGCAACTAATGAACATCATTTCCTGTTTAAAAAATGCAACCACATTATCACAATCACTTCACTCTCATTAATATCCTCCTCTGGTTTGGCACTCATTCAACTACTCTAAAAGCGCTCGCCATGTGTCCTGGAAATAATAAAAAAAAACTGGGAAGGCAAAGAGACCAGAGTCATTTTGAACAATTCTGCTTTTTTTTCTTTTCTTTTTTTCATTTTTTCTTTTTCTTTTACGGAACTTGAATATAAGACACCACACAATATAGCTCAAAATCGAAATGATTTAAATTTGACCTTCTAATGATTTTAAATTTCTTTAAATTGGTATACAAAGGACAATTACATGCGTCCCATATATCAGCATGCAATAGAAACCAATTTTGCCTAACTATGGTAGTTGCATGCAGATTTTATATTTCAATGTGTACAGCCCTTTGCAAATGAGGTGAAAATCATTGTGGATAAGAAATCGAAATTTACAGCCAAACAATAAGTACAATAATAAGAACGGACAGTGAAATAAACTACCTCAGTAAAAGGTTCCTTTATGTCATCTCTTTCAACACTGCTTTCCTGTATAAATAAAATCAACAAGACAATTAGATTTTGGCTCACAACGTTAAAATGTAAAGAAAAAAATAACATCGACGAGTTCAAGTAGCTTCACCATTTCACAACAAAAATAACAAATTACAAAGTAAAAAGATACAATGAACACATACGTAATTGGGAAAAATAACCATATCGACATTTCCAGGCACATCATGCAGCAACTGCCTCAAGGAGTACTCTTGAGCACCGACTGGATGTACCAACTCATCAGTATCAAGATGAATTATCCAATCCACGCCAGCATCCTAATATTTTAAAAGGAGAGAGAAGAAACTAAACAGCACAAGTTAATAGTGATACATTAGGGAATAAGTACAAAGCAGCAACAGAGTAATAGCCATGAGAAGAACACTTTCATACCCTTGCCATAGTAATAGCCATCTCCATATTGAGGGATTGTTTCACAAATAGTTCATAATTGCAAGGCTTGTAAAAGAAACCAGAAAGCCATGTTTCATTCCAGATCCGACTGAAGATTAAAAGAAAATAAAACCAGGTATACACAATGAAAAAAGAGAAGAAATAACAAAACATAAAAAGTTAATAACAATACTCTTTAACAAATATGATAATGATTTCCTCCTCTAGAAAGAGACCCTCCACTAGCCTATCCCTAAGTGGAATACGTGTGTGCGTGGATATTTTGGAGAAGCTTCTTATTCTTAATATTTCCATTACAAACCTTCCTAGGAGAACTAAAGCAATTTGCACAGCCACTGTGCGGCCACAGATTCAAGAAGAAGGTTTCCATTCTTTGCCTAATGCAGACTTTGCTCTTTTTTTTGGGGGGGGGGGGGGGG